AGTGCAAGTTCTAGGACAGACAGGGATATATGAGAGAAACCCAACAACAACAACAACAGGAACGACAAAAACCTTAAACCAACCAACAAACAAAAAAATAATATAACACTTTCAGGACTAGAGAGATGCTTATCAATTAAAAATTCTTGTTCTTGCAGAGGACCTGAGTTTGAGTACCAGCACCCATGTGGTGACTCTCAACTCTCCGTAATTCTAATTCTAAGGGATCAGAAGTCTCTGGCACCAGTCATGCACACACAGTGCACAGACATAGATGCAGCTGACACACACACACACACACACACACACATATGTATACATATATGTTTATATGCATGCATGTATGTGTATACATATGTATGCATGCATGTGCATACATATTTTTTAAAAACCAACATTTTTCCTCAGTTGTATTTGACTGGATTGAGGGTGCTGGTCCCACAGGTACAGAAGGCTGACTGTATATTAATTCTGCTATAACAAGGTGTTGAGATTTTCCTGTGGACAAAGAATTAGAAAAAGGGCCCACACCTAAAACAATCAAGTCCTGAGACCTCCACATTCTATAGAGAATCTGGCTACCCTACATGTGCTGCTATGCTGAGGACTTCTGAGCATTTTGGAACTGTCCCTGTCCTAGTCTGTGCCCTCCCTTCCCAATCTTCATGGTAGGGCTAGGTGTGGGGGAGGGAGGGAGGAGTAGGTGAGAGGCAGCATTCCCTTCATCCTGGAAGTGGGTTCTCAGGAAAACCCACTTATCTAGTGTGCTGGCACAAGCTAGAGTGATCTGAAAGGAGGGGACCTCAATTGAGAAAATGTCTTCATAGATCCAGCTGTAAGGCATTTTCTTAATTAGGGTTTGTTAGGGGAGGGCCCAGTCCATGTGTGTGTCCTGTCCCTGGGCTGGTGGTCCTGGGTGCTGTAAGCAGGCTGAGCAAGCCATAATGCACAAGCCAGTAAGCATCTCCATTTCATGGCCTCTGCATCAGCTCCTGCCTCCAGGTTCCTTGCCCCACTTGAGTTCCTGTCCTGACTTCCATCACTGATGGACTGTGATGTGGAAGCATAAGCCAAATAAGCCATTTCCTCCCCATCATGCTTTTGGTTACGGTGTTTCATCTCAGTAATAGAAACCCCTAACTGAGATATCTAGGGTGGAGGCGTCTTCCATCACAGGAAATGGGCACATCATTTCGGGCTCCCTGGAGTTGTTTCAGGGCAGAGAGAGTTTGAGAAGAGGGCACCCTAGTCTAGTTGGCTGAAGTTTAAGAAGTGGTGCTTTGGGAATAGTTCCTGCAGCAGCTCATGAAAAGCACCAATCAGAGTCTACTTGAACCTGGCTCTGCCCAGGCTTCCCTGGCAGCCATGCGTGCAGAGGGAGATGCTGCACCCAGACAGGTCTGTACTGTCTCATCTGAGGGTTCCCGGTGATTAAGAAGGATGAAACCCAACCCCAAGGAATCGCAGGAAGCATTAAAGTTCAATGTAAATGTTAGAAGGTTGCCCAGTTTTCAAGATGTTATTTGTGTATGTATGTATGTATGTATGTATGTATGTGTGTGTGTATATATATGTATGTATGTATAGTCAGGGTCTCACTGGTTATCTCTAGCTGGCCTGGATATTATACCAGGCTGGCCTTGAACTCACAGAGATCCACCTGCCTCAGTCTCCTGAATGTTACAATTAAAGGCATGCACCATCACACCCAGCCAGTGTTTCTTTTATTAAAGAACATCTTCAAGCTGGGTGTGATGGTCCACTTGCTCTGAATCCCAGCATAACTGTGTAGGGGTCCTAGGCAGGAACTTAAGCATACAAGAGACCATGCAATTTCAAATTTTTATTTTCTTGGAGCACTCACTTCCTGCATATGTCTCATCTGGGCAAGGGCAGACACTTAAGAGACATCAGCAACTGAGCCAAAAGCAGACTAGAAATTTTCCCCAACTGCTGGCCAGTCGAGCTTCCGCTGTGGTTTTTTGCTTTAGAGAAGAGAAGCAAGGGACTAGGGACCACATGATGCCAGCTCATGATCTTCTTCTTCTTACTAAGCAGCCTCAGTGGGAGAAACATGAAATTAGGAGCTACAGATTTGTCCCTCAGGTCCCTGGGAGGCAGGACGAGGAGCAGGAGGATGCACAGTCTCAAGTAGGCAACCCGAGGAATATAAAGTATCTTCCTGTCTCACCACACAGACTCTCTCATGGTCTCACTGCGAGGACCAGGACTTGCAGCTTTGATTGTAGTCTTAACAAAGAAAAGCCAAGAGGTCACGAAGCAGGAAAGTCTCTGTAATTGACACAGCATCCTTGACAGCCACACCAAAGCTGAGTCTAAATGCTCAGATTATTCCTGCATCTTGCACTCAACAGGCATGTAACCATCAACAGGGCAAGACTGGAGACTGGGCGGTGAGGTGGGACATTTCTGGGAGGGACAAAACATCTTTAGTTGGAATGGATGTGTCTCTGGGATGTAGACATTTGCATGCCCTGTAGGATGCTGGATTCCCAAATATCATAGGTATTGCCTAGTCTCATCTTGGGAGCCAAAGGGGACATGTGTCTCCACACCAACTTCCTTGTCAACAGTTAGACATTTGGTTCTGAAAGGTATCAGCATGTTGCTCTCACGAGTCTACCTGACTCCATTGCACCCTTACCTGCTTTATTTCAACTTAGAAACGGTGAGCCATTCCCACCCCAGGTCCTGACATTTCCTTGTTAGATTCCCAACAGCCACACCAGTTATGTTCCAAGCTCTGGGTCAGCCGGGCCTTTGTGGAGTCAGTTTGTTGTGTCTGCATCTTGCTGATACACCTTAAACCTCTCACAAGCACAGCTCTCTTGGTGTTTCTCTTTTTTTACAAAAGGATTTAATATTTTGTTTGTTTTTTCAGACAAGGTCTCCCTGTGTAGCCCTGGCTGGCTGGCCTCAGACTCACAGAGATCCTCCTGCCTTGACCTTCAAAGTGCTGGAATTAAAAGTGTACACCACTACTGCCTGGCCACACTGCTATTTCTTCTGCTTGTGTCTATTGGATTCACGGATTGGATTAGATTGGAGTCATGAAGAGCAGCTGAGGCTTGGCATTGAGTGAGGTCATGGAAGGCCATTGGAGAAGTTGTAGTCTAAGTTGTAGTTGATGGCCCAGGACTGATGGGGTCATGCAAAGGGTTTGAGGCTTGGCACCATGAATAGAGCCTGTGAGAAGCTATTGGTGAAGCCTAGTTACAACAGAAGAGTCCAGCATATTGGCGATGCCAGTACCATGGGATGATCACCAAGAACACCAGCAGCAGAGGAATGGATCAACCTGAACTTAGAGTGCTACAGAGGGCAGAGCTGGAGAAGTGATGCCAGCCTTTTACAGGAGCCCAGAAGATCATGTGTGGATCCGAGACATTAAAACAAGAAGCTGTAACATTGAAGTTGCCTTGGAGACCCCAAGATGTTTGAGATGCCAGAGCTGTGGGCTATCTGCTGAGGAAAGCTGCTAACGGGGAGTGGAACCAGCCTAGGAGAAAGAAGTTTGTTGCAGTCAACAAAGATAAAAAAGGAGTTGGAGATCTGAAGACCACTTTGACATCAGTCATGGAGGTGCAGAGTTTGGAGTTTGCCCAGCTGGTTTCCTGTCTTGATTTGGGGATTACAGTTAAGTGATTGGATGAATCTCAAAAGAGACTTTGAACTTTTGACTTTGAACATTGTTGAGACTTCTATAGACTATGGGGACTTTTGAAGTTGGACTAACTAGTTTTTGCATTATGTTATATTTAGGTATAGCCCCCATAGACTCATGTTTGAACAAGCCTATGGGGCCCAGGGAGTGGAATGTGATGGTTTGTATATGCTTGGCCCAGGGAGTGGCACTATTAGGAGGTGTGGCCTTGTTGGAGTAGGTGTGTCACGGTGGGTGTGGGTTTAAGACCCTCATCCTAGCTGTTTGAAAGTCAGTCTACCACTAGCAGCCTTCAGATGAAGATGTAGAACTCTCAGCTCTGCCTGCACCATGCCTCCCTGGATGCTGCCATATTCTCACCTTGATGATAGTGGACTGAACCTCTGAACCTGTAAGCCAGCCTCAGTTACATGTTGTCCTTATAAGACTTCCTTTGTTTATGGTATCTGTTCACCACAGTAAAAACCTAACTAAGACAACAGTGTTCATGACATATTGGATTGTATAATGAAGAAGGACTTTAGATGGCATGGCATTAGCAGTTTGTTAATATTTTCTAATTCTCTGGAAATGAGCCTTGGTTTAAACTTTACTTAAGGGGAAGCTTTGAGAACAGGTAAACTAAAAATGGTAGTATATACTCTCTCTTGAAAACCATCATTTTTATGTATACTGGTGTTTTCCCTGCATGCCTGGAGACATCATGGCCACAAGAAGCCTCTGGAATTAGAATGACACATGGCTGTCAGCTACCCTGGTCTTCTGGAAGAGCAGCCATGTTCTTCTCCATGGAGCCATGCCTTCACCCTGTCTTTCTCTTTGTGCCTGACTCCAGGAATCCCTTCTCAGTGTTAAACCATTTCAGTGTAAGGTGGTAGGTCATGATGGACCTCTGGGGTAGATTTTGGGTTGGACTACTTCCTGTGTTGCTGAGAAGCCTGTATGATAGCTGCCTTAGTGTCAGGTGACTGTGAGATCTCACTGGATGTGCACAGTGGACCAGGGTTCAGTGCTTCTGTCACAGTCCATGGTTAGTGGTATCCAAAGCAAAGCAAACAAAGCCCTTCATCAGAGCTAAAGATCAGGGTCTCCAAACATTTTGATGGCTCTCTGCTGTGAGATCCTGTATTCTGTAGGAGTTTAGGTTTGTCTGGTTTTATTTTATTAGGGTTGTGTGTGGGGGGGTAAGACGGGGTTTGGTTGTCCAGGAGAAGCCTGTATTATTTTGAAAGACTATTTTGTCTCTGTGACAGTTAGCCTGGAGAGGCATGATCAAGAGTCCTATATGTCACATGGATATGTCTTCTCCAATATTTTAGATGGAGACACTGTTCTCAATGAGGGGAGGGTCCAGGTAGGTGTAGGGCAGTGGCAGGCTTTGGTTCCTCTTCCTGATGCCACTGGAGATCTGGATCAGCTTTCTCTGGAAGGCAGCCACGCTTCTCCGTGGGGCATCCTCTGTGAAGTGTTCATCTGGATAGTGGCCCAGGGGCCTCTGGGGACCAATCACAAGGTTGAGCTGCTGAGGTCTCCATCTTCTGAGCAGCTGCAACCCACCATGGCTGGCTATACCCACAGTTTGTCCCTGGGCCCAGTCACCTTACACAGTCCTTGGTTGAGCCTCACTGTGTCTCTACACTAAGCTTTTCCTAAATGACAATGAACTGTCAGCAATGAGACCGCTTCATATGAAGATTTAAAGGAACATTTAGTCCCATGCTTCCATCATGGATGAATGTTAGTTGAATACTTGATCCTCACCTGAAGATGGTTGAAAGTCATGTATCAAGAGCTGAAAGGTCATTGGGAAAATTTAGTGAGGTGTGTGTGTGTGTGTGTGTGTGTGCATGTGTGTGGTGTTTGGGCCAGGGAGTAAACAATAGATCTTTTCTAATCCAGCCTAACGAGGCCTGACTCCCAGCTGCCTACTTACACTGTCTCCAGGCTCCTTGCTTAACAACCACAGGGCAATGATGACATCACATGTGGCATTGACTGCTGGGAGTGTGGCTATGAAACCCTCAGGCCGTGTCTGGCCTTTGGAAGTCGGTGGTGGCAGCTGCATGGTAGGTGGCAGATTGGGCATCCAAGCACAAAAGTCAAACTGAAGGCAGAGAAGATAAAATGAGATCAAGACTCTGGCCCTTCATCACAATGGCTGTAGGCCTGACTTTTCCTTACCTGGCCTGCACTGACAGCTGCATGCTTGGCTGAGCAGGTGAATATCACCATGGTGACATACTGGACCAGGGCTTCCTGGGTATTCAACAAGGAGGGCATACCTGTCAGAAGAGCTGGGCTGGGGCCAGGCCTCCTAAAGAACTGAGGACCTCACAGAGGCTTGGGTAGGGCTGTGCCCAAGGGCTAAGGTCTCTGTACCTGAGCTTTCTCGGCTGAGGAAGCCCTCAGAGAAGATCTCCCTCACCCAGGCCTGGAGCTCTTGGTCATCTCGGACAGATGCATCACTTGGGTAGTAGATGCCAACTATCTCAGAGACGAAGCTACAAGGAATGTCTGGACTCATTCCCTGACTCCAAACTCCTCTGTGGGAAGCATCCTTGCCCAGGGTAATCCACATAAGCCCTCCAGTTGTGAACCTCTCCAGTGCACCCCATCTCCTGCCCAGTCTTCCTGCCCACGTGGCTTCCTGGTAATGGTTCCCTCACCTCTTTATTGCCCCCCCAGATCTGCATCCCATCATCTCGGTAATAGTAGCCCGGGATGTCTTCTACATCTCGGGCTCGGATATCTTCAGGGAGACACAGCACAGAATAGTTCAGCTGCTCCATGTTTCTCTTTATCAGCTCAGAGAATCCCCCAATGCCAAGGCCTGTGGACTGAGGGAGAGAACTCCTGGCTTCAAAAGCGGGGCAGCAGAGGTACTAGGGTAACAGGGGTCATGCCCATCCCAGATCTGCATCTTCTTCAGCCTGAAGAGAGCCCAACCCTCCAAAGGCAGCTCCTACCTTGTCTACCACCTTCCCAGGGGCAATGAGTAGCTCACGGGCAAGCGTGTTGATGTGCAGTGTGTACCGAATGTGAGGAATCAACAGCTGGAAGGAGATGGCAAAGTTGGGGAGCCCAAACCTGTCCCCAAAAACCACCCAGCCTGTGAGTCACACAGGAGTCAGCAAGGACAGGAGGGTTCAGTTTGTGACAGTGTTCCCTGCCCAGTGAAGAAGGCTAGGCCCCATAGCATCTTGCTTAAGGCTTTCCAGCAGGACTTTTCTTCCCTCTGACACCAGATCATTTTGTCAAATGAGAACCTTGGGAACCTCCTGGGATTTCCCATCCCTGTGGCAGGTAGAGTACCATGAACAGCTGGGCTGGGGCCTGGCCATGTGGAGCTGTTCCTCACAGTGCACCTCAGAGAAGCAGGTGCTGGAAGTCAGTCAGATGACCCAGAGTGAAGAGCATAGAGCAGGCCCCTTGGCCTTCACAGGGCGCACTGTTTCCTTCACCAAGCTAACATTTCTCTGAGAAGGCAGGGCTTCCCCTCCTAGGGAGCCTTACTCTTTCTGATTTCTGCTTAGACATTCCCTTGGGCCCTGGATATGGCCTTACTCTGTGTTCTTCTATCAGAATGGGAGCCCTGCATCAAGCCTGGGAGGAGAAGGCCAACTGAGGAAAGACTTGAGCCAAATTGTTGAACCACTGACCTTGAAGAGAGGGTGACATTGGGGCAGCTGACGAAGTGTGGCCAAGGCAAACACTTCTGGAATCAGGTGGGCATGGAACAGATGTGTGACAGCCTCATGGATGGAATACTCAGCATTGCGCACCCAGGTCTTGGCCAGTAGCCAGTCCCACTTGTCATCACTGGGCAGGAAGATGGGGTTGTCTGGCCCTGGAGTCTGTTTGAGCTGGTGGGCAAGGCCAGCAGGGAGACAGGCAGTGTCAGTATCTGTCAACCACTCAGTGGCACCCTCTGTACTTTGCCATTGCCCCTGTCTCCTGCCTTCTTACAGACCTGGATGGCGATGGGGAGCAGGGGTCCGGACCCTGAGCTCTGGTATAATAGGGTCATTGGGGCTGCAGAGAACTGAGGCTTTCCATTGATGACATTGGTTTGGACTCCAGAAAGAATGCCATGGTCCACCAAGAACAGGGAGCCCTTCTGCAGGAGAAAAGGGAGCCCTGGCTGCACCTGGCTTCCTAAAGCAAGGAGGGCAAGTGGCAGGAAGAACTCTCAGGGTTACCCAGGAGTGCATTCTGAGAGTTGGTTCTTGGCATGCAAGGCATAGTTTGTCCCTCTGTCTCCAGTAGGGGGCTGGGCCTGAAGAAACTAGGATAGAGTTTGCAGAGCTTGCAGTCTGGGCCCCACCCACCTCCAACTCAGCCTGCAGACTGGTCCCAGGGCCCAGCACTGGGGCCACCATTTCATCAGTGACAGGGAAGTTCTTTGGGAGGCTGTGACAGCGTCGAATCAGGACTGGGTTGAGGCCATTTAGGAACTGGGAGGCAAAGAAGGCATCTTCCTGCCAGTGTGCAAACACATACTCTGCAGGAGTGGGGAGGGGAAACGAGAAGGGGGACCTGTCACCAAGGCTCCCACAGGTCTCCTCCTTACTTGCATGGGGGAGTTCTCTTTTGTCTCTACTGGGTACCTATTCATTTCTGAGAGTGACCTCCCCTGACCCCTTGGATTTGGTTACTGCTTATTCACCAAAGATCAAATCTTATTCTCAGCCCATCATCATCCGGTCTACCTGATACCAGCCTGGTGGCTCTCTAGCTTCAAAAGCAAGCCAACGTTGGGCTCTTCTCAGGCTCAGCCTCCACTGCCTTCCTGCCATCCCAGGGAATGGCAAGTTGTGAAGTTGACTGTGCATGGCAGAGGCTAGAATCTCCTTAGGTAGCAACTTTCTTCTCCTCTCCATCCTTGGTGTCTCTGCCCATCTGTCCACTTCATCCCTACACAGCCACAGCCTTGATGAGGCTATCAACCTCTGTCCTCAGCTAGAACTCCATAGCTGATCATCCTGCTGGCCCTCTGCCCCCACCCCACGCCCTGGAGCACACTTAGAATCATTCCAAGCTGGTGGCTAGTCACTAGCCATACACTGTGCTTAGAAAAACCCCATTCTTCTGTCTTCATGACCTTCATCTTTCCTGTTCTCAGTCCTTAAAGAACTTTTGGCCCCCTGAACCCATTAGAGCTTCCTGGGACATGTTGAATACTAGGGTGGGTACCCCTGTCACCTAATTCTGAAGCAAACAAGCCAAGGGGCAGTAATGATGTGATTTTAAGTCTTATTAGAAACCACAGCCTGATTTCACTGTGAGGCCTGAGTCCACAGCCCTGACCATAGTTTATGAAAAACAGTTGTTCTAGGTCAAGGGTCCCCTCTAACTATCACATCTTTTGTGTCTATGGGAACTAAGTCTAGGAGGAAGGGCAAGGAGCCTGGCTCAAGTCACAAGGTGAATTGTTGCTCACAGTTAACTACTTAATTAATTTTGGTCATGCCTCCTGGCAGAGATGGGAACTGATATCCCAGAGAGAGCTGAGGACCACAGTGGCTCACCGGCTGCTGGAGTCTTGTGGAAGTTAAACATCCTTCTCATCTCCCTCAGACTCCTCCAGAGTCCTGTGCGGTCCAGGAGCCCTTTGAATTTCAGCCCTGTAATCCTGATGGAAGGTTGGAAGTATGAGATAAGGTACTAGGCCCCAGGAGACCCTCCTGTGTCTGCCTGAGATAGTCAGTGCCCTAAGGTAGCCACTGTCCTGTAGGATAGGACACTATGGCTTTGGCAGGGCTGAGTTAACATTGTAAGTGAAGTAAGGAACTGAGGAGAAGAAAGAGTGTAAGATTGTGCACAATGACAGGGAGGCATCTTCATTGTGTAAGCTGAATAAACCCCTTGCTCCCCAACTTGCTTCTTGGTCATGATGTTTGTGCAGGAATAGAAACCCTGACTAAGAGAAATTGATACCAGGAGTGAGATATTCCTGTGACAACCTGACCATATTTTGGGGAGGATTGTGGAAGGACTTTGGAACTTTGAGCTAGAAGAGCCATTGGGATGTTAAGAGCTCTGTGGGATGGTCTGTAGGAACTTGGAAGATAATGTTGAGAACAGAGCAGGATATGGAGGCCTGGCTTGTGAGATTTCAGAGGGAAGATTAAAGACTCTTATCAGGGCTGTTGCTTTTTTGATTGTGAAGATCCTGTGTTTTTGGTTAGCTGGGGCTGAAGAATCAGCTGTGATTAACAAGATACCAGAATTACTAAGGCGAAAACTTTGCGTTACTGGGACTATTGATGCTGGTTAGCTGGACCTAAGAAATTAGTGGTGATTAAGAGGAGACCAGCATCACCAGGTGAAATCTTCTGGGAAGTGTTTTCTGAGATCACAGGAAGGTTGTCTTCCAGAGATAGCCAAGGTTGTACCTTGTGCTGTGGCTGGACTTAGTAATGTGTAAGAGTCACCTAGGTGGTACTGGTTTTGAAGGCATGAAGGGGTCGTGAAGAGCAGCTGAGGCCTGGCACTGTGAGAGGCCATGGAAGGTCATTGGTGAAGGTGCAGCCTTAGTAGCAGTTGATGGCCCAGAACTGATGGGGTCATGGAAAGGATTGAGGCTTGGCATCATGAAGAGAGCCTGTGAGGGGCTACTGGTGAAGCCTCGGTGCAGTGGAAGACAGCAGTGGTTTGGAGATGCCAGTACCGTGAGATGACCACCAAGAACAGCAGCAGCAGTGGAGTACAGACAGCTGGAGCCTAGAAGACAGCATGTGTCTACAAAGGGCAGGGCTGGAGCAGTGACCCAAGACCTTGGAGGAGCCCAGAAGATTTTGAGTGGTACCCAGACATTGGATGGTGGGAGTTTGATTTTGCTCTCGATTGTGACTGTGCCCTGATATTTTTCCCTCTTGAAGGAAGGAAGTATTTTAGTGGTGGCCACAGTTGAGAGACTTTGAATTGTAAAAAGACTTGGAATTTTAAAAGCTATTGGATATTTTGAAGGGTTTGAGATTTTAATATGTAAGAGTTTGTAAAGACTGTGGGACTTTTAAAGTTACTTAGATCGTGGGGATGAATAAGAAGGGAAGTGTTGAGGCTTAATAGTGATGTGTTTGTGTCACGTTGACAAGGGGTCAATTGCACTGGCTGGTTTTCTGTGTCAACTTGACACAAGCTGCAATTATCATAGAGAAAGGAGCCTGCCTTGAGGAAATGCCTCCATGAGATCCAGCTGTAAGGCATTTTCTCAATTAGTGATCAAGGATAGGAAGGCTCATTGTGGGTGGTGCCATCCCTGGACTGGTGGTCCTGGGTTCTATAAGAAAGCAAGCTGAGCAAGCCAAGGGGAAGCAAGCCAGTAAGTAACATCTCTCCACCTCCTCTGCATCAGCTCCTGCTTCCTGACCTGCTTGACTTCCAGTCCTGACTTCCGTTGGTGATGAACAGCAGTGTGGAAAGTGTAAGCTGAATAAACCCTTTCCTCCCCAACTTCTTGGTCATGATGTTTTATGCAGGACTAGAAACCTCGACTAAGACACTCACGCAGAGTAGGCTTTAAAGAAGAATTTGGCGTTCTTCATCGCAGAGTACTTGATGTTGAGGTCCAAGTCTTTCACTGTCTTGTGGTCAAGGCAGTGAGGCCAACCTTCGATGTATGTCTTCCAGCTGGAAGGGGACAGGTGAGCGATCAGCAGCAGCCTTGGGAGCCCTTGATTGAGACAGAAGAATCCCTGCCCCAGGGGACCCTGGACACGGCTAGCCCCCTACTGCCAGCAGGGGCTTTCCTGAGACCCTCCCTTCCCCTGAGCTCACTGGGTTAGATGGAAGCTACATGTCCCCACAGGGAGACTTCTGAGTACCTGACCCAACTCGGGTCAACTGGAGGAATTTGAGGTTGGAGCTGAGTCAAAGCCCTGGGGTGTCTTAAGTATCTGGATTATAGTATGTGACTGTTGGGACTGTGACCGAGGAAGAGTGGGAATCCAGGGAAAGCAGAGGGGAAAGAGGGAGGGAAGAAGGAAAGGAGGGAAGGAGGAACTTAACATTTGGTGCTTGGGTCATGTAAAAAATAGACTTTTAGAGTTGAGGCCAATTCAGTTAGAGCCTTTCTGTAATCAAAACAAATTTAAAAAGCCTGGGAACATGACTCAGCAGTAGAGCATCTGCTTGGGATGCACAAGGCCCTAGGTTCAATCTCCAGTATAAAAAGTAAAACTAAGGGACTGGAGAGATGGTCCAGCAGTTAAGAGCACCGTATGCTCTTCTAGACATCCTGAGTTCAATTCCCAGCAGCCACATGCTGGCTCATGACCACCTGTAATGGGATCTGATGCCCTCTTTTGGCACGAAGGTATATATGCAAATAGAACTCTTGTGTATAAAATAAACTTTAAAAAAATAAACTCTTAAAAAAATTAAAAAACTAAAAATTAAACATTAAAGAGTTACTGCCCATTGTCAAGCCTAACATGTATTTGACCTCCACATGCAAATCATTGGCTGTGTACATGCAGACATACAATGTCAAAAAAAGATGTAATTGCAGGGTGTTTTTCTTTTTCTGTAGGTTTTTATTGTTTGTTTGTTTTTTATTTTTGGTTTCTGAGCCCTGGCACTCCTGGGACTGGCTCAGTAGAGCAGGCTGGCCTCAGACTCAGAGCTCGGTCGACTTCCTCCAGAGTGCTGAGGATTAAAGGCATGCACACCACTGCCCAGCACACATTTAAAAAAAAATAAATGAAAATAAAAATTAAGAGGGCCAGGGTTGTAAATCAGCAATGTGTGTTTGCTCAGAATGCAAAGGACTTAGTTCAATAACCAGTAACCAACAATTTAATAATGAAAATGTTTTAGATTTGAGCCTTTGATGTCAAAGGACAGTTTGCAATTAAAGTGTCCTGCCACCAGGTGGTGGTCAAACTCTTTCTCTAGAGCAACCCAGTACTGGCTCCATCTGGGGACTCTTGGCAAGATGCAGAGTCTCACTTAGTAGGTATGAGGAGGGCCTGAGTGCTTGCCTTCCCTGACTGGCACCCAGAAGATGCCAATACTGGGGTCTGAAGCCTCACTTTAATCATAAATGCAGAGGGTCCAGGCAGAGAGAACAGGCAGGGAACAATGCTAACCACAAACATTTAGGCAGGGCTTAGCATTCATGTTGTTGAGTGCTTTTATTTTTCTTGGTGGTGGGGGCTGGGTCTCACATAAACTAAGCCTCCAATTCACTATAGAGCTATGGGTGATCTTGAATTCCCAAACCTCCTGCTTCCATCTCAAAAATGCTGGGATTACAGGTATGTTTCATCCAATCTGGTTCATGTGGTGTTGGTGATCAACTTTAAGGATTTACTAGTTATAGGTTCTACCAACTAGGCTACATCCAGAGTGCTAATATTTTTTCTTTTATATTAAATGCAGTGCTGAAGAAGAAGCCCACAGCTTTGAATGCAGAATTAGACTCCCAGGTCTTATTAACCCGGTTCTTAATTATTCTCATTTGCTTTCCTAACAATCCAAACTGAGAAAAAACATCAAAGAGAGAAGACCTCCCAGCTCCTTTTTTAGGATCTAGACTGGTCCTGCATCATCAAGGATGTAGATTTTAACAACCCCCCCACCCCACCCCACCCCCCCACCCCCCACCCCCGTTTGCTGCTGTGAGATTTAGTGTCATGGCTTTGATGACAAAAGTTGAATCACCAGGAACCAAAGGAGCCTGTGCTTGCTGGGTTTCCAGAGACCTAGGGCAAAAGCAGGGGGCCCAGGATTTGGAAAGCAACCAAGATTAAGGGCACCCGGCGATTTTGAAAATGTCCACGTGAGTACAGTTGCTGACTTTACCCTTTGTAATTCCCACCTCCTGTGTGCTCAGCATGTAGATAGCTCTCTGCTCAAACTCTTAATGCTGAGCAGAAAAGGTAGAAAGCACCCCTGTCTGAGAGTGTCTCTGTTGCCTAGGGATGTTTCAAGGTCCCCCTTAGATGCCCGGAGTCCTGCCTGTATTTATGGGAGAAAACAACAACCCCACCAGTGAGAGAAAAGGAGAAACCAAAGCAACACCACTACAAAGAAAGATAGAGAAGGCATAAGCCTCAGGGTGGGGTTGTTACAGCTGTGGGCTTCAAACTTCAGTGGGTGCCGGAGTCGGCTGAAAGGCTTGGTAAGATGCAAGTCTCTGTGCTCAATGCCCCGGACAGAGACTGAGGTCCTGCGAATCTGGTTTGCTAACACTGCTGTACCTGGGGTTAGTCCTTGATTTGTCTGTTTCCCATCCCATTAGCGAGTCCTCCGGCAGGGGTCACTATCTCCCTCCTCACCTGTACATGTCCTGCCTGGTCTCCAGCTCCTTCTGGCGCTGATCCTGCAGTGCAGGGTGGTGGTCTTGCCAGGACACCTTGGCTGTGGTGGGGGCGTGGATGGAAAAGATATTCTCCTGATCTCTGGCTTCAGACATTCTCCCTCCAACTACTGTCTACCCTCCAGTGCCCTCACCCCGGGTACATTCCTTCCACTGCAAGCTGACTGCCATCACCTCCTGCTTCTACCAGTCCTCTCCTTCCTCCTTTACCCCTTCCTGGTGTCCACACAGTTCAACTCTCCACTCCCCAAGCCTAGGCACCTCTACACTATTGTGTGCCTCCCGCAGCTTAAGCCAGCTCCGGAGGGCCCCTCTCACCTGCTCCCTCTCTCAGCACCAGCTCCCCCGCCCCTTCCAGCCACTGATAACAGGGGAAGTGGAGTGCAGCCCCAGGTAGCCACTCCAGCTGGAACCAGCGGCAGAACCAGGCATCAGGAGGGAAAGACACAAGAGGGAGGGGCGACTCCGGGGGTGCCTTGTGTACTCTCAGCATCAGTACAGCGCCAACATCCTGGGGGAGCGTCACCTCGAAGTCTTCTTCCTGGGAAAGGCTGTTTAGTATGCGGAGGATGGTCCCTCTGGCTCCCTTCCCCACAGTCGCCATTGCCTGCTCCCCCAAAACTCACAGCACCAGCGTTGAACTCCTTGCCCAGATGGTCCAGAGGTACTAAGGGGCTCTCTCCGTGGGTTCCCACGATGCTGACAGACACTTTGTCCCATGTGCCAGCCCCACAGGCCTCCCCGGTGGATACTCTCAGCCTGAATTTAGCCATCCTCCTGGCCAGTCTGGCTCTCCAGTGCAAGCTGGAGTACCTGGCTGGGTGGCTTCACTTCAGGGATGCCCCGCCCACCAGCCCAGGTTAAGGGGAAATGTGTTTACCAGCTGAGTTCCTGTTCAGCTTCTTTGCCACCAGGAAGAGCTCTAAAATTTAGGGCAAAGAGTAGGTGGGTTGACAGACTGAAACCTGGAATGACAATGGGTGGCACTGAGACAGGGAGGTGACTCCAGTCCCCAGGAGGAGTTCCAGACCCAAGTGGGATGCGGGGTACAACAAGTATTAAGTTTATTTGTGTGCTGTCTTTAAATGTGTGTGAGGGTCCCCTTCCCGTTCCTATAACTCTTCTCAAGATACAAGGCTGCTTTCATTTTTTTTTTAACAACTGATTTTGAGAGCCATCCTTTCCAGGATTATTAGATGCTGCCAACACGGGTCCAGGCAAGACTCCAGCTTTGCCTGCCTCTTTAGTAAGGTCGAGCACAGGGGGAAAACATTCAAATGTGTGTGCATGTATTAGTTTTAGATGACAGTAAATGCTGGGGAAGATGTCAGACTTTGCTGATGTGAGAGCCTGAGGTGTTGGGGTGGGGAGAAAGGGCCTCAGAGACCCAGAGGAGGGGAGAGGTGAGCTGAGAGTGTGTGTTTATGAGCAGCAGTAATTGCACTCAGTGTTTATTAAAAGGAAGAGGGCATGAAGCTGAGAGGGACATGAGGGGAATTCAGAAAGAATTGTAGGGGAATGGGATAGATATGATCAAATACATTGTATGCATATGTGAAAAATCTTAAATACTATATCAAATTATTGAATGTATACTTTTAAACGGTATGTCTAGGAAGCTGGTTTCCTGTTGTGGAATTGTGTGTGCAAAGGCCCTGAGGTCACTGGAGAAAAGAAGGCAGAGCTGGAGTGAGTGAGGGGGATGTCAGAAGGAAGACTGAGACAGAGTTTACCCTTGAGGGAAACAACAGATTTGGGGGTTCTAATGTGGAAATCCTCTTTGCTGTATCTGTGAGACATCCAAGTATAGTGGTCACTAAGGGAGTCTACCTGGAAGTCATGGCAAAGGGATGTGTGTGAGCCCCAGGCTAAGAGAAATGGCTGGAAAGGGGCAGTGGATGCAGGCTCCAAGTTGTTGGAAAATTTCAAAGTTTTGCAAAGAAACAACAAGGATTGTTCAGTGTGTGTTACATCAGCTGTTTTGTAACTATAAAGAAGTGAAACCTTCATGTTGGCTTCTAAGTTTGATGTCCTTCCCCTGTTGCTCTGGGGACTATGGGCTGACCCAGAGAAGAGTTATGGTTAGAATATGCTAGGCTGACATGGTTACAGCGAAAGTAACACTGAAGTAGCTAGCTCTCTGTCTCTCTGTCTCTCTGTCTCTCTGTCTCTCTCTCTCTCTCTCTCTCTCACACACACACACACATACTCACACACTCACACACTCACACACAGAGACAAAGTGGAAATTTTTGGTGTCTTTGGAGATTCAGTTGTATCATGTGATGTTTTTTCTGGAAACATTCTTATGAGAGGATGCATTGCTGAGGCAGACACATGGGAGGATGTTTTGCTGAGAACAGACACATTGAGTTTTTCTGGAAGCTGCCTGGAAGGGTGACACATGATGTTTTGCTAGAGCAGACCCTTGCGGTAACACTTGAATCTTTGGAAAAAGTATAAGTATAACCCTACAGACAGTGGACTATGCTGTGGCATTGGTTCACCTTGCCACTCTCTGTTGGCCTTTGATGGGTTTTGCTGACAATGCTGTGGCATTGGTTCACCTTGCCTTTATTGTTGATCAATATTTATCATGACATCATAGAGAAAAACGCACCAAAGATCTTCTGATACTCCACCTGCTTCTGGCCACTTCTGTGGACTTGGGTCAGTTGGCAGAGCCTTGGGGTTTCTTCTGGACCCAACTGCCATTGCAGATTTGTGAATGATGTGAGCTACCACTGATGACTCTGATTGATGTGAACAGAACTGCTGCTATCCTGACAACAAAGACAGGGATGGACCCAGAGGTCTATTTCTAAGCAGTTCCACATCCTCCTTTGTCCTATTAACCTGTCCTTTCTGCTACCCACCTTGGTGGGTGGTGGGCTGAAGAGAGGTTAAATCATTTAGGAATCCTGATTAAAGTGGGTTTTGAAAAATATAAGCCTACACACACACACAGACAGACAGACACACACACACATACACACACACACTGTTGTGTCATATGCTTTCTGGAAAGACGAGAACAGATATCTACTCACCACATATAGTGACCTAAAAACAAATCAGAGTGATGATACCACCGTATCCAATCTGTTCAATCAGATTGAAGTAATGTAAGGACCGTGGGTGAGAGGCTAACTGTAGGAGTGGACACTTAAAGGTTCCAGGATCATAGCCAACCCCATTGTGGGTAACAGCTCAGGAAGGTGGAACCCTGGAGCTCTCTGCATGACTGCAGGGGACTCACCATGCTACAGAGTCTTTCCTGGTCAGGCTTGGTCTTTACATCTTTAGAAAGAGCCTGGTGAATCTTCTAAGTTTTAGCTCTTCAGGATCTGAGAAGTTTAAATCTCAAACTGCTGAGCCTTTCTCTCCCTCCAGGATGGACTGTTTCAACTCAGAGAAAATTGCTACACAACATTCCCTCCCACTCCCCTCTCTCCCACTCTTTCTGCTGCCTCTTTCAGCACAAGATTCCCTGAGCCTTAGAGGGAAGTGACTTAGATGTCCATCTACCGCTAAACGCCTGTCACTGTGCTACCACAGTGGTCATTTGTTTCCAGAAGCCATCATTTTAGCCAAGTGGTAGTTTGTACGCCTTTAGTCCTAGCACTCAAGGGGGAGTGGCAGAGTCATGGTCATGGTCAGGGGCAGGGGCAGGGGCAGGTGTCTGTGAGTTTAAGGCCAGCCTGGTCTACACTGTGAGTTTCAGCACAGCCAGGGTACACAGAGAGTAACTCCGTCTGGAAAAACCACTTCCTACCTCCAAAATTAAACCCATCATTTCAAAAGGAAGTTTCGTTCCCTAACAGATCGGGGCTGACATTGATCTATGGCTGTATGCAAGAATAATCATCGGGCAGATTGGCAGGTTCATCACACCCATTAACCAAACATCAGCACTTTGATTCCCATCACCCCCCAGCTACAGGATTTTTATCTGGACTTGCAATAGCATATGTGAATTCTCTCCATTGGGGGAATCCTTAACTCCCATAATAAAGCTGTTGGTTGTATCTGTTGGTCACGTCACTCACATTGTATAGCAGGTACAATCTGCCTGGCGTTTTGTCTATTACTGATTGGCACTGCTGGTGACGCGTGCTCTCCCAGCAGCCTGCATAGCACCTCCATCATTACAACAGCCAGGCAGTAATGTAGGAGCTTCCGGGTTTATTTCTTGTAATGCTAAGATCAAGATCAGCACACCTGCCTGACAGGAAAGCCAAACAGGAAAGAGAACATCCACAGGCATCATTCGGCTGTGGAACTACAAAGAACATGTCTACTGATAAATTTCTTTTTCCCAGAGTTCCCTTTTTTGCTATTAAAGCTCAGTCTCCTGCCTGGACACAGTACCCACTCCAAGGAGAGGCTGGAGTCCTCCAGTCGATCTCATCAAAGGACAATTCTGCCCGTGGACAGGAGGGTCTCCTCTTTTATGTGCGTCAATCCTGATTTAACTTTTTTCTTAATTTTTGAGACAAGGTTTCTCTGTGTAGCCCTGGCTGTCCTGAAACTCCCTCTTTAGACCAGGCTGGCCTCCAACTCAGAGATCCAACTGCCTCTGCCTCTGGAGTACTGGGATTAAAGGTGTGATCTAACATCTTCAGCAATGGGCTCTTACTCTCTAGTTATGGCAAGCAGCCAACAACAATGGTCAAATAACTTTTATTTAGCTTTGTTTTAAAATTTGTGGGACCGCAGGGGTTTACTGCTCACAACTTGTAGGGAGGTAGCCTTCCCTGGGGATTGAGAAGAAGCCATATGGCTTTGAGACAACCTTCTTGTCCTTCATCCCGAGACCTTTAAGAAATTGGTTTTTTTAATTTTAATTTTATTTAATCTTATTTTTACACTTCAGATTTTATCCCCCTCCCAGTCCACCCTCTGACTGTTCTACATCCCATACCTCCTCCCCTCATGTCCACGAGAATATCCCCATCCCCCACAAGCCCCACCCTACCAGACCTCCCCACTGGGGCCTCCAGTGTCTTGTGGATTAGGTGCATCTTCTGTGACTGAACCCAGACCCCAAAGTCCTCTGCTGTATATGTGTTGGGGGCCTCATATCAGCTGGTGTATGCTGCCTGGGTGGTGGTCCAGTGTCTGAGAGATCCTGGGGGTCCAGATTAACTGAGACTGCTGGTCCTCCTACAGGGTCACCCTCCTCTTCAGCTTCTTCCAGCTTTTCCCTAATTCAACCACAGGGGCCAGCAGCTTCTGTCCATTGGTTGGGTGTAAATATCTGCATCTGACTCTTTCAGCTGCTTGTTGGGTCTTTTGGAGGGCAGTCATGATAGGCTCCTTTGTGTGAACACTCCATAGCCTCAGTAATAGTGTCAGCCTTGGGGCTTCCCCTTGAACTGGATCCCACTTTGGGCCTGTCACTGGAGCTGCTTTTCCTCAGGCTCATCTCCATTTTTGTCCCTGCAGTTCTTTCAGACAGGAATAATTATGGGATGGCAACTCCATCCCTCACTTGTCTTTCTGCTGGAGATGGGCTTTACAAGTTCCCTCTCCCCACTGTAGGGCATTTCATCTAAGGTCCCTCCCTTTGAGTCCTGAGAGCCTCTCACCTCCCAGGTCTCTGGTACTTTCTGGAGCCCCTTCCCCAACCTCCTACCTCCCAAGGTTGCCTGTTTTCATTCTTTCTGCTGGCCCTTCAGTCCTTTTCCCTCATCCAATACCTGATCATGTTCCCCTCTTCCCATCCCTGTCCCCTTTCCCACCTAGGTTGCTTCTAAATAAAATACCAGGA